TATATATATGTAATTCTATAATTATATATTTATTACATATGTGTATTTAAGGAAGGACACATGTCTTTCACAAATAAGCTATTTGCATAATAAATAAAAAATGAATTTTCTTTACAAGATTGTTGATAATTTGATCTTGGGTTTATAGAGCAAATTGGCACAATTATTTAATTTGATTTTGAGCCAAATAACATATGTTTATAAGATGGCTCAAGCTTGGCTTGCTAATTTTGAGTGTAGCTCCGGGTACTTTAATATAGTTTGGGCTAGGCTTCATTTCAATTTGACATTAATTAGCTCAATAGCTTCAATTTGACAATGATCTAATTTAAAATTATTGTTTAGCTAAAGGTATGTTTTCACTTGTTTATATGTTTAGTAGATGATGAAGGGGTTAAAGTCTTAAAATAGTTAGTATTGTTTGATATTAAATATTATTGCATGTTCTAACATTCGCATTGAGAACATGTATTTTGTTTGCATTTTATAAAATTCTAGGACATGTGTATATAAGATATATGAGCATGTTTATTGAAAAAACTTAATGAGGAAAAATATTAAGAGGCATGACTCTATTGCAATATTGATGTCAGGGTGACTTATAGATTACAAATAATGTTATTTTCCATAGTTAAAATAAAATATTTATGCAATGTAATTAGTATGGATTGGCAAAACTACTTTCCTGCTGGAAGTCCAAGAAACCTTAGATGCATTAGTAGTGTCATCTAAAATATGAGTAAATAATAAATGAGCCATGTGTTGGCCTTGATAATATTATATGGTGTAAATATTAGTGTAAATTATGAGAGTTTACTTTGTTTGTGACTATAGACATCGACGTATGTAGCAAACATATGCCTTATTGGCAATCATGAGAATCGGCTGTGAATGTCAATCATGATGACAAGGTCAAGCATAAGGTGTTCAGTGTCGACATTAAGTGCCAAAGTTTATGTGGATGCTATGCATTCGCCTTGTGTCAATGTCAAGCATTACTGTATGTGTAAGATCCAAAATTACATTTTTTATTCTCTTCGCGTTTTCAATGAACTTTCCAATGGTAGACCGAACTATGCAAGACAGCTTAGAGGTAAATGTGTGTGAAGAAAAGACTATCACAAAATAAAAGGACAATAATAATGCTCTAGTATAAGAAGGACCACAAAATGAAGCATCAGGGAGATTTGCTGAAAAACATGTCTAATTGTCATTGTTGCGAAGAGACACACCCTGAATCTTACAACTTAACAATTGACAATTATTTCAAATGCTACAACATCGATCACAAGATCAAGGATTGCCTTTTCCTGACCTAAACTTATTTTGCAGTAAACCATGAAACCAAATTTAAGCAATATAGGAATGGGGGTTATAAATATAATAAATGTCAGCACTAGAAGCAACGCAACAGAGAACATACAAGTCAAAACTACATTCGGACTAAGCAACAATCGCATTAAGCAAGGTCGTCTTAGTTGTATCGGCCATAAGCTCTTGCATTGTCGTACAAATAGTACCAGCATCCACCACTGATATATCAACATTCTTCTTCAACAGTGCAGTACTCGTCTCAACGACCTCATGATCTAGAGAGGCCTAACTAGGTGATTCCACCTCGAGCATCTGTTATGACCCAGCAGGAAGCCCATGAAGCACCAAATGTTGTGATATATATTATTTATATTTTAAATTAATCGAAAAATGTTTTGTTTAACTTTGGGGCATCATATTTATTCATATTATATAAATTTTCATTTAGTACATTAGTTTATTCATTACAGTCACATAACACATTAACCATGTCTATCACTAAATGATTTCATAATTGTAAGTTTATTATTAACAAAATGCATATATCTGCTACACTTATAGTATTCCCACTAGTAGATTTTGTATGTAATATCTTGTATAATTTGGGGACCAGATTCCTTAAGTGGGGTAATAGGTGAGATCCAAATTTTATTTTTCTTTAATTCCTGATTCGTACAAACTTCCTTATTTGTCTTAATTTCTGCCTTTGGATAGCATAAATTTTGTGAAACCTTTCTTTATTCCCTCCCGCTATCGTAGTGACTTTCCAGACTTGAACGTGACCCTCTTAGATTTTAAATTTGATAACACTATTCTAACCAAATGAGATTTTCAAGCAAATAATAAATCTAATTGATTTTAAATTTGATAACAATATCACTGAAAGAAAGAGAAGTGGAAATCAGGGAGGATGAGTGAACTCACCTTAGACCTCAGTTACACTAAGTATTCGACCACTGAGGAGGACACATAGTTGTGGAGTTTTTAAGAAGAAGGGGATGGCGACTGCCACAACTTCGAGAAGGAGGTGAGAGGCTTGATCGGCTTTATATCGAGAAGCAAGGAGAATGAGGAGAACAGATTGACTCTCAACAAATGCTATTAAGCAAGGCAATGAGAAGAAATAGTTGAGACTATTTTAAATTTGATAACACTATTCTAACCAAATGAGACTGGGGTTTGAGGGGGCAGAACATTCGATGATTGCAAATGGGAGGGTTATTATGCTCTAGCTTTGACCCTCTTTATAACTAGCAGAGAAACGAAAACAAATGAGAGAAAAAAGGTAAGAGGGTTTATTCAAATCAAGAAAAGTGATACGATAGCAAAATTGATGCAATCTAGAGGCATGAAGGAAGACAAATAAGGAAGTTGAGTGCATTTGCCAAAGTTGGTGTTAATGCAATCTAGAGGCATAAATGAAGAAAAATAACAAAGTTGGCTATGTTGGTTGGAGTTGGCGGCAACGGAGGCCATAATTAACTAGCTGCTTTGGTCAGAGTTGCCTGTGGAGTCTGTTGGAGTTGGCCAGAGTTGGCGGCTGTGACTGTTAGAGTGGGAGGTTTTCATTAGATTCGCGGTGCAGAAGCGATGCTGGATTTCAACCCCGCCTTCAAGCTTTCATATTATTTTGATTCAAGGTCTAGCTTTCAAGAGAGGTGTAGAGATTTATTTAGAGTATGGGAGAGCCATCTCTGCGAATAAGAAAGAAATTTAGACAACTTCATCGAATGACCCAGAGAGATTTTCTTGATTTAACTGCGTTCGATGAACATTTAAGTTTCTTAATGATGTTAGAATTGAGTGATCATGAGCTCATTGTATTTATCTCATTGAGACATTTGATTTGACTGTAAGCTTGTCAAATTAGAATTCTGTTTGACCCTTCAATTATGTATTGAAAGATTCCAAAAGTGGTATAACATCTTAATCTGGGCTAAAATTGACTCTAAATGGATTAATTTTGGTATCTTTGGGTCAATCTCGTCGAGTTAGTCAACTTGATTGTAAGTTTACTGAAATCAGTATTGTAGATGATTTTTAATTGAAGTTTGAACGTTCTTTGCTTGAAAATTTGTTTCGAGATTTTAGTTATGCCTTGAGATATAGGTCGGATGACAAAAATTTACTGATGACATATCAAAAACTACTTTTTACAATCTGATATGATAAAATACGATGATTATTAGAAATCATTTCGTGATTAAAAAAAATTAAACATTTATAATTCTCACAATAATTTTTTAAGAAGTTGATGTTCCTAACCTAACTTTAAAATCACATTTATAAAAAAATTACAACCGTACATTCACACATAATTTAGTATCTAAAGGTTTAATTTTTAATCGTGGGCCTCGCTTGCTCCAATCATGCACATCGTCTTTGGGCTCAATCAAGTATAAAACTTAGTTAAAAAAAACGACTTTTTTTCTTTGAAAATACAAAGTAATTATATTTTTTAAATTTTTATTAGGAAAAATTAAATTCACAACACTCAAACTTATCATTTTATTTATCAATGAAAATGTGGATTTGATTATTAAAAGAAGATAATGAGTACTATTTTTATATAATATTGTAATTATAAAAATTTAAGGGCAAGATAAATAAATATGAAAATTTTGGTTGTTATTTATGTGAAAGTCACTTCTTAAGGACCGTGTTTTTTGATGTAGCTCTACGTGTGGCGTAGGTTATTCTTAAATTATTTTTAGGTTATTTTTGGGTTATCTTCAATAATACCGAAATAATCGGCGGTCTTTAATTTTTGGGTATTTCTGATATTTTCAATAATACCGAAATAACCCGCGGTCTTTAATTTTTGGGTATTTCTGATTTATTTTTATATTATTAAAAATAATCTAAAAATAATTTGTAAATAACTTAAAAATAAATTGGTCCACATGCAGAACTACGTCGAAAATTTTTTTCTACTTAAGCCATATAATTGCGTTGACATGAAAATATAATGGAACTGTAAATTAATCTTCCGAACTGCTACCCTACTTTTCATCCTCCTAACTCGAGCGATTGCCAGAGCTCAGCTCCACACCGCAACGGCGACTATTGGAGCGCCGCCATAAGCGAATTACAGGTCTAAGGTGCGCTTGTTCTCTTTTCCCCTTTCTTCTCATTTCCTTATTTCCACATTACATCCCCTTGCTCTTCTTCTACTTCGAGTTCTCCGTGTAGCTTTTAGATTATCATGAATTTTGGGTTTTGATTTCCATGTTTTCGATGGCTACCAAGGGCTTCCGAGGAAATGCGGGATAATATGGAAATAGGAGGCGGCGGGTATGCTCCGCAGAAGCAACTAGAGGATTGCACTGTTGCTAAGTGAGTATTTTTTATCTCATTTATAATTATGAAAATTAGTGGATTAATTATAATTATATGAATTCAAACAGTTCTTCTTTATTTGGATTTTCATTTTAGTGATTATTTATTTTTTTATATTTAGCATTTACTTAATGAGTTCTAAGGGGGATGTCTGGTTGTAAATAGGGTTTAGTAAATATTGTAAATCCAGATTCAGTAGATTTTTGAGGCATTAACCCTGAAAACTTTTTGACATGATGGATGCTAAATCTGTTAAATTACCAGTAAACTACTTGGTATATATTTTCAATAAATGAGATTTAAATGAAAGATTAGAGAGAGCACAATAAGAAGTGGTGTAATTTTCATAAATCATGTTTCTTTCTAGATTTTCTATATTTGATATTTGACCTAATAAGAAATTTGAGTGAAAATAAGATTTATTCATTACAAAGAACAAGATTTAGTCCAAATCTAGGCTAAATTTTGGCTAAATCTTGCAACCAAATAACCCTGTAATGTGGTTCATGGTTTTGTTATTTTTTCAATGGTTTGTTACTAGTGTTTTTTATTTTTCAAATATTTTGATGATGTACAATCTTCTTAAACGAACTTAGTCTAATGATTTATGATGCAAGCAATAATCACTAGTGTTTTTTATTTTTCAAATATTTTGATGATGATTTATGATTTATGAACTTGTAGTCTAATGATTTATGATGCAAGCAATAATTACTTGTGTCTAAGAAATTAGAATCACTTGAAAGTACTGGACAATGTATATGCAAGGTTCGGAGTGGTGACTTACACTCTTTGCTCTGTGTTGCACAAGGTGCTTCTAGTACAAGCATTCTGGTACTTGTTTTAAATTTTAGTTGTATTTTCACTCTACCAAGTTTTATATTTTAGACCTCTTGCTATTTTAGACATCTCCTTTTTTGGCTTGCAAGATATTGAAGCTTATATATTTGAGAATCTCTTTACATGGCTGCATAGATATTTTTTAAGAGAGGGTTATCTCTCCAAATTTGACATTCCCATTGACTCGTTAAATTATATAAGCTCAGAATATAATGGTTCTCATCACTGGGCTGAGCAAACAGGGCTCTCTCACTGAGGTCATTCCTATGGCTTGTTAGCAAGAAGAGTTCACGACTTGGCCATATTTATGTATATCGAGCTTGACCATCAGGATCTTATCGAGTCTTAGACTTATCCTGTAGGAACTCATACCTATCTATTCATCTTTCTTCATAGTTTTTTGAGAAATTGCAGTTTTCATTTTTGAAAACACTTTTATTTGATCACATAAACTCATTTTTTAGGTGAGGATTATGTTTTTTTTACCTATATTCACCCATCTATCGCTTTAAGAATATCTTTTGGATATTGGCCATCTGAACTTATCAAGTTGAATGGGCTTAGAAGTTAGATAATTTTTGTGATCAAATTGGTGAAATGGGGGATCTCTCACCATAATCATTCTTATAACTTATTGAGTGAGGATAATTGTTAGCTAATCAACTATATTTGGGCTTGTTGAGTTCGGATTTAAGGGAACGTGCTAATGCACTAGACTTGAGCTATGGAGAAACTTGTGTTTTTCCAAATTGGCAGGTTTCAATTCATAAACCTGGGACCTATTTTTCTTAATTTTCAAGATATTGATGCTTCAATATTTGAAGGCGTTTATGTATAACTTCATAGATGCTTTATTAAATGAGAATAGTCTCTTTAACTTTGTTTTGACTCTTAGATCAATTGGGAAACCTCATAGAGATCCACCTCACTTGAATTTGTCATTAGATAAGCTTATAACTTGATCGTTCTTATTAGTAGCTAGAGTAAAAGGAGGTTTTTTTCACTGCAACCATTCTCATGGTTTGCTGAGTGATAGGGGCTGTTGGAACTCCACCATATTTGAACGTGTTTTCTTCGACTTTCATAACTCGCTTTAGTCCTAAACTTGAGCTATAAGAAACTTATGTTTTATCAACCCTATTGGTTGAAGCTTATACATTTAGAAGTTTTTTTCACATGACCATCAAAATTTGGCAAGATGAGGAGACAAATCTCTAACTTTTGGATTTGTCTTGTATATATTTTACTTGAAGGTGGCTTTTGCCTTTTGCTCATGAGACTGAATGCTATTTAGCATTAATAATTTTAATTTTAATTTTTAGGGATTTCAACTAAATAAATAAATGCTTTATATCTTATGTGGGAGTTTTAACAATTAATTAATATAAAATTCTTAATAATTTCTCATGTATGATAGGGAGACTTTCATGATAATTTTGAAATGCATTATTGTGTTCCAAGAGAGTTTCAAATAAAATTTAAACACATATTGGAATGGAATGAATTGTTCTTGCCTTAAAAGGGAATTTGATTGTAGTATTTCTTTAAGGAAAATTTACACACACAACACACAATTCTTATATATTTTATATATCTCACATCTAAACTTTTATATTTGCATACATGTCGCTTTGTGCTTTAAAACATATGCACGAAAAGGTTTATTTCTGTTAAAAAGTGATAATAGTGAAATTTTTTATGCAATATTAAAGATTTGAGTGCTATGTGTGTAAATATGAAACTTTTGGCATAAGATATGTAATACATAAGAATTGTGTGCTATGTATGTAAATGTCCTTATTTTCAATCAGGTTACTATATGTAATACTCAATCAAGCATTGATCGTTAATGGATGACATTGGTCATTGATTGCTTATGTTAGAAGTTATATTAGAAAATAATTTATTCCTTTGGGAAGTTATGAGAAATAAATTATTTATTGAGATTATGAGTTATTTTCTTTCCTATTTTATATTTATTTCATTGGATTAACAGTTTTTTTACTTTCCTATTTTATGTTATTTTCTTTATCTCCAAATACTTATATGAATTGATTATTAGAGATAATAGGTGTTATATCTTTCCTTTCATATTATTTCCTTTTTATTATCTTTCCTATTTTAGGATTCATGTAAAGGGTTATTTATACCCCCTTCATATAAATGAAAATCCTCTCATTTAATTCCGCTTAATTCTGCATTATTCTGAATTTCAATGTGGTATCAGAGCCAAATTCCCTACCCTTGTCACTGATCTTCCTTCTAGAGTTGTTGGGCTCCCTTCCTGCCATCCTCCCTGCACGAGAGGAGGGAAGTTAACGCTCCCCTCTCTCAAGTATTCTTCGCTTTGTCGTCGGGTTCTCCTCGGAGATGGTGGCGACGAACCACAGAAGAAAAAGGTTTCCAGTCGCCGCAAGGAAAGTGTTGTTGTCCGAGATGGAGGGAGCAAGAGGTGGGAGGACTTGAGTAGCGACCTCTTGGTTGTGATTTTCTCGCAGATCAGAGTAGTAAATCTTATAGCCAGTGTGCCATATTTGTGCTCAATGTGGCGGTACGCTGCGCTAGATTCATTTTTCTGGCATGTGCTCAACTTCCAGAGTTGGAACGATATTTCTCACTGTCTTAGTTGTCGACACGATGAAGCCATCAACTTCGTTGATCTCTTCAATTTCACCTGAAGTGAGGAGGTCATCAATTATGTCTACTTCCCAATCTATTTCGACGAGATCGATCTCAAATATGTCATAAACAGGTGCCCAATGCTTCAATATTTCAACATGAAGAATCCTAATGCATTTGAAATTGAATTTTACAAGGCCATTTGCAAAATTGAATTTCTTAAGGGAATGACTGTGGATGTGAGCTTGATTTGCCATCAAGTCCTTCAACATGTCAATCAATGTTGTGGTAGCTTCATTGAGTTGAAGGACTTTTATGATACAATAGATGGATCAATGTCTTCTATCATTTGTGAATGCCTTCCACGACTTCAAACATTGGAGATCATTGAATGTTTAATGTCAAAAGGTGTCGTCCTTACTCCGCTTGATGGCTTGAAGGAGATTGAATACCTTGATGTCTCTGGTTGTAATCCATATGGTTCGTTGGGTTCGGTGCTCTTTCTTATGGTTATGGAACGACTACCAATGGTGTAGGTTTTGGAGGGTATGGCTGCTACGGGAACACCAGGGCTTATGGAAATCTTGGTGGACCAGGCGTTGGTTATGTTATAAGACCTCCAGGTGCTCTAAGGAGCGGGTATGTTTCTGTTGGTCATGGTGCAAATGCAGGGTATGGAGGAGTTGTTTCTAGACCCACATGTCAGTCTCCCAATGTTGAGCCGGAAGTATCTTGTTACGAGTGCTTCCCGCATCAGATCCTTTTCCGGAGCGTTTGCTTGCCATAGGCCCGTCTCCAGAGCTTTTCTTGCAGCAAGCCTTTCTTCGGAATCTTTCCTGCAATAGAACCTCCTCTAGAGCTTTTCCTGCAGCAACTCTCCTTTGGAATTTTTTTCTGCATTAGGCCTCCTCCGAAACTTTTCCTGTATCAGACTCTCCTCAGGAGCTTGTCTTGCAGCATGCCCTCCATCGGAATCCTTCATGCAACCAGCCCTCCTCTAGAGCTTTTCTTGCAGCAAGTCTTCCACCGAAATTGTTCCTGCAGTAGGTCCTACTCCGAAGCCTTTTCCTGCATCAAATCCTTATATGTAGCCTTTTTCCTGCATCGGGCCCTCTCTGTAGCTTTTTCTGAATCAGACCTTCCTACGGAGCATTTCTTGTAGTACGTCATCCACTAGAATTTTTTTCTGCAATAGGCCTGCATTTTCTACATCAGGTCCTTCTTCGGAGCATTTCCTGCATTAGGCCCTCATCCAGAGCTTTTCCCGCAACAAGGGCTACCTTCGGGGCTTTTTTCCTCAGGTTATACCTGACAATTTTTTTCTGAAGGTTGTCTACTTTTCTGCAAACTCTCATGCAACATTATCTGTATGATTCTTCCGTCTTCCTACAGACACTGCAGAAACTACAGTTAAAGACAACCGCAGTCAACTAGAATTCAGTCTTTTCTTACAAATTATCTACTTTCCTACAAACCCCTCTGCAACATTACTTATAGGAGCATTCTATTATCTACTTTCCTACAAACCCCTCTGCAACATTATTTATAGGAGCATTCTGTCTACCTATAGACACTGCAGGAACTACAATCAAAGACAACCGCAATTATTTATTTTTCTGCAAACTTCCCTGCAACATTATTTGTAGGAGTCTACCGCTTACATACAGACACTGCAAGAATTGCAATCAAAGACAACCACAATACGGATGAAAACTTCAAATTCTACTTCACGGGATCTCCCTCACCAATTGTTTGATGTTTTCAAATCCAAGTTGAACGTGGTTTTCAACCATGTTTCAACTTGAGGGAAAGTGTTAGAAGTTATATTAGGAAATAATTTATTCCCGTGAGAAGTTATGATAAATAAATTATTTACTGAGATTAATAGTTATTTCATTTCCTATTTTATATTTATTTCTTTGGACTAGAAGTTATTTCCTTTCCTATTTTATGCTATATCCTTTATTCCAAATAATTAATATGAATTGATTATTGGAGATATTAGGTGGTATATATTTCCTTTCATATTATTTCCTTTTTATTATAGTTCATATCCTACAATTCATGTAAAGGTGCATTTCTCTGTTAAAAAGTGATAAAAGTGCTATTTTTTATGTGATATTAAAGATTTGAATGATATGTGTGTAAATATGAAACTTTCGGCATGAGATATGCAAATACACTAGAATTGTGTGCTATGTATGTAAATGTCTCTTTCTTTAATTAGGTTACTATATGTAATACTTGTTCAAGCATTGTTCTTTAATGGATGACATTGGTCATTGATCGTTTAAGTTAATAAGCTGCTAGACTCCACCTTGATATGCCTTCTCGATGGTAAAGAAGCCTTCACAGTTAGTTCAAAAAAATTTCAATAATTCTTTGATGAAGAATGATTTGTTTTCTCAACATTTGTACCACTTCACCCTCTTAGCATTTGTGAGGATTCACCATATTATTAAAAGCTGTAGATGTATGTGCTTGGTAAATTTTCAAACTTCGCTGAACTTGGACTGTAATCTCATCAAGTGTGAAGTTCCTTCATTTGCAGAAGAGCATGTTACTATTTTTTGTGGCTGTATTGGATTACTACTACTAGTAATGACAACAAAACCTCAAGCAGCAAGGTCTTTTTGGCATCAAGCACCAATGTATTAAGAGTACCTGCAATTGATATCCTATAAGTAATGCAATATGCCCATAATGTTTTTATAATTTTAGAAAAGTTATTTTCTTTATTTTTTGACATTTTTTTTATTAGCTCGACCAATATTTATTGAAGATTTCTGCCATGATATTTTTCCCTTGAATTTATATTAATGAATATTACCAATCTTTCTTTGTGTCGATCAATGAATCTATATCCCATGATTTATTCATGCAACTAGCTACTCTGGCTATGGCTGTTGGGCTCATATCTCAGTAGTTCTTCTTTACTTTTACCTTCCAGATAACCCTTTCTCAGATTAGGAAGCTTTAGCATCATTTCTCCGTAGTGTAAACTGCTTTCAGTCAACATGCATTTTTTTGGGGGACATTTACTTACATACCACCCAATTCCTATATATTTACATCTCTAATAACTAAAATTTACCTTTTTACATTTATACCGTGCAAATATTTTTATATATCATAAATATACCATTATTTTAACTTTTAAAAGGTGAAATGCATCTTTTCATACATATGTAAGGCGGTATATACGTAAAAAGTGAATATAGGAGTTAGATATGTAAACAAATAGGACCTGGTTGGCATTGTATGTAAATGCTCCCTCAAAAAAAAAAAAAACAGCTAAATATAGTTAAATCGTTATATAAGAATTGGAATCATGGTCTAGCAAGTGCAATTAAGGATATAAGATGCATCGATAAAACAGACAATTAAATTTTGGGAAATTTACATGAGAATTGTGTATTTATATCTCACATCTAAACTTTCATATTTACATACATAAGAATTTTGTGTGTTAAATCTTTGCATGAAAACATGCATTTAAATTCTAAAAAGTGATATATAGTGTTATTTTTTATGTGATATTAAAGATTTGAATACTATGTCAATAAATATGAAAGTTTAGGCAAGATATGTAAATACATAAGAGTTGTGTGCTATGTATATAAATGTCACATAAATTTAAGATTGATGATTTTGAAAGGAAAAGAGGGGTATAAGCATTGCTCAAGGTCATCCAAAAAAAAGGAAGATTTACACGCATACCACTTAATTATTTTATATTTACATGTATAATACCTAAACTTCACTGGTTACGTATATGCCACCTTGCCTGAGATTAAAAAGGTGTGTTTCACTTTTTAAGAGCTAAAATAGTAGTATTTTTGATGTGATGTGAATTACTTGAGTGATCTAAATATAAAAAGTAAAGTTAAGGTGTTAGATATGTGATTTGATAGAACCTGAGTGGTGTATATGTAAATGCCCCCTCAAAAACAAGAAAAATACTTCACTGTGTCCGAACAACGTCCGTGATGCACTTATCGCGGCTAAGGGAAAAAAAAAACCGTCGCGATCAATGCATCGCGGCCGTTGTCCAAGTTTTTTTTTCCAAAAACAAATGCTAAATATAGTTAAATATCTTATAAAATATGCAATCAGAAATGAATGGAGAATTAGGATTCAAAATACACTAAAAACACTAGTGATAATTACACATGCAGCACTCAAAACATTTCTACTTGCAAAATCAACACCCAAATTTTTTTGTTTTTGTTTTTTTAACTACTACACCGATGTATTTACATGTATCATTATCAAACCATTGAGACTTTGATGAAAATGAGAGTTTTATCGTGAATTTTGATATGTGAGTGAGAATTTAAAAATTGATGGAAGAATGTGCTACATTTGTAACTAGTAATCTTTCGAGCCCTTAGAATGTAATTGCCTCAAAGAACTAAAGTAAAATTTGTTAGATTAGCATCAATAAACTTGAAATTTCAATCAAAGCTTTCTAACTTTCTTAAATGAATCGACATCTGCAGTGCACTTGGTACATGGTTTTTTTCAGTTGCAGGGGCTTTGATTGCAATTCCAGTGGGAATAAGAAAGAAATCTCTGGCACCTCTGGTCTTCTTTGGCACCACAGGCACAATGCTTGACATTATCATGGGTATAAGCCAGTGTGAGAGGGAGCATGCAGAAAGGCAGATGAAGCTCATGGAAGAAAAAAAGCTTGCCAGCAGTTCTGTTGAGACATTAGAGGGGGCTGATTCATAGAAAATCTTCTCTGTACAAATGTTTGTTGAATATTATTTTATCATATTGGTTTTATGAACAACTCTTGTTTGAAAACATGGAAATAATGCATGTGGTTTTCAACAAGTCTTTTTCGTATTCGTCTTTTTGTTTTTTTCTTCGGGAAGGGCGAGCACTCGAACATAACAACTTGAGATTCTTAACTTTGTTTAACGAGAAAATAATGAGGTTCATCTTGCCATAAACAAAGTGTGCTTTTTGAGAGGGTGTGGTGTTTTGAAGACAAATAATGAGAGATGATAATTGGTAGTGGCTAATTAGATAGAGGCTTTGTTTGATGTTATATCTAATAGGGACATCTACATACATATCATATGATTTTTAATGTACATAACATCTAAACATTCATATTTAGATTGATGTCATTTAATTTTTAACATCATATCAAAAATATCATCATCATTAGCTTTCGAAAGTGGAACACACATTTTCATGCATTTGTTTATGGCACTAAGATGTTAAAAATATAAATATCAAAAATTGGATATGTAAATACATAAAAAATTATATGGTGTGCATGTAAATTTCCATATCTAATATTGTTTTCAAATATGATGATTATTTGATAAAATAATATTAATATTGTTATCTAAAGTGCTATAATGTGGCATCAATGTGTATTTATATAATGATCAAAACTCTTTGTTTTGTATGATTTGAAAATGCTAGAGTCAATAAAGTTTATGTAATGCATCCCATAATTCAAGCCAAATAAATTTTAAAAATATATTTGGTCCTATTAATTATAAAAAAAAAGTCAAATCAAGTTATAAAACGATTAAATGAGATTTATTTTCTTGTTTGTTTTTTTCATTTTTATTTCGGCTGTTTTTTCTTGTTTTACTTATTAATCTTAACTATCATTGTTAATGATAAATAAGGGTTAATTATAATCATTTGATCTATCATTGTAATTATGACTTGTAATTGGCACAAATTATTAGTGTCTGAAAATTATTTTGGAATATCAATGAGAGTTTCGCCTTTATAATCAAACATACGTATTAGGTCATATTATGAAACTATAATTCATTAAGAGCGATTAGAATCACTTTATTATTTATTTTAACAATATTATTTACTTTATTTTATTTATATTTAATATAAAAATTAATTTTAACTATCTGTATAAAAGCCAAAGAGGGGTGTTTCTGAGCTCTTTGACTCCTTTTATTCTATAAAACTTGAAAGTTACAAGTGATATGGGGGTTGAGAGAGAGAAAGAGAGTCTAGGGACCCCCCTTTTAACATCTAGGGGTCCTCTATTTATAGAGAGATAAAGAGAGGAAAAAAAATATTACGTTTATATCCCTGTTTTAAGAAGAGTTGTGAGGGATATTGTGGTCTTCTCCTTGCTTAGATTTGTCTCCCTGGAGCGTTCTCGCACTGGATTCATCGCCATCAAATGGTCAGCCCAAGCAGTCAGCCTTTGGTGGTCATCACTCGGTGGTCGCTGGCAAGTATGGTTGACCAGGGTGGCCGACTTCGACATCAACATCGACTTTTCTTCAGCTTGATGAGGTCCTGTTTTTTGACTATACATTATATTTTTATATATGCAACATTTAAACTTTAATTCTTACGTACTAATGCCATTTTACTTGTTCTCGGAAAAGATATATTTCACTATTTAAAATTTAGCAGTGATATTTTTCAATGTGATATGAAATATTTCAGTGTTATAAATATAAAATTCAAAGTCTAAGGCAGTGTTTGGTAGCATGCTATTAATGAATTTAGCCATTGGATTTAACTTAAAAACAAACAAAAAAAAAATGAAACTTAAATCCAATGCTCCGTTAACCACTTTTCTCGCTTTCCATCTTTTTTAGGACGTAAATCCGAATTTAATAAATTCAATTGCAAGCCGGATTTAAGAAATTATTCCACCATTTGCTCAAGCTCCATTTCCATCGCCGAGATTCATCGGACTTAATAAATCCTATTTATCTAATAGTTAGGTATGTAAATACATTAGAGTAGTGTAGTATGCATGTAAATGTCCCCCTAAAATTTACCAAAACAGAAAAGGGATAACAGAAAATGAAACTACTACGTGTTTTCATTCACTGTTCTTCCACCACAATCAATTTTACAAAACAACACAACATTTCAGCACCCAACAATTTCCATATTATTGCAAAAACAGAAATTAATAATACAAACACATTTTTTCTTTAATTTTTTTTAATTTCTAAATAGAAATCACTAAATATTTTCAACTGCAGAACAAAAAATTTTGAATTTCATGGCTTTAGACATCAATAAATACAAAAGCAATTGACCATTTCTCATATATTTAATTTTACAAAACAAAACACCACAATTGCAGAAACCAACAATTTTGATATGATTGCAAAAACAGCAGAAACTAATAATACAAACATATTTTTCTTTATTTATTTTTTCATTTATAAACAGAAATCACTAAATGTTTTCATCAGCAAAATAGAAAAAAAAAATGAATTTCATCACTATGGACATCAGTAAATGCAAAAAAACAAACAAACATGCTCACACTGCCACTGCTACTTTGAGAAATTCCAAAATCTTGTCATCAATATCAAACTGTAACTGCTTCTTATCCCTTCCAATGCTCACATATTCATCAAACCTCTCCTTCAAATCTTCGGGAAGATTGGTGGTGCTCCTCCATCCAAGTATCTCTTTCGCTTTCCTCGGCTCTGCGTAGAAATGCTGCAGTAAAAACTCAACAAGTTAGCAGTCGAAGATGACGATAATGAAACAAATTTGAATAAGGAAAGATTTTCAAAACGACCATGTTGCGAAAAGGAAACGCCTTCTTCGCATCAACTCCTACAGATTTGGGATCATAGTGAACAATTTTGGCTTCGAGACTAGCTGCTTGCGCACAAAGCTTGACCAATCCGTCGAAAGTGATGGCCCGATCGCTCACGCAGTTGAAAATTTTATGAGAAGAGGCAACGGGGTCAGTAACGGCAAGGAAAAGCATGGTGGATAGATCCCTCACATGTGAGATGTTGGTTAGTTGCATCCCTGATCCAGGAATTGGAACCGGTCTTCCGCGGACAATTCCTGCAAAATTTTGTTGAGATTGGGAATAGTTAATGTGAAAGATCATAACAAAAGCGTTAGGTTGGAGGCTAGTCTTCTAAATTGGAAGATTTTATAATAGGAAGATTTGCATACATACCACACAATGACTATGTATTTACATATGTAAGATGCAAACTTCAATTTTTACATACATGTAACCTTACCTATTCATGAAAAAGTGTATTTCACTTTTTAAAAGTTAAAATAGTGGTATCTTTGATGTGATATGAAAGATTTAGGTGGTATAAATGTAGAAAGCAATGTATAGGCGTTAGATATGTAAATATATGGGAATTGGGTGGTGTGTATGTAAATGCCCCAATTTCATTTCATAGAAAACAAAGCAAATGAAGCCATGGAAAACTTTGGGTGTGTATGTAAATGCCCCAATTTCATTTCATAGATGAAGCCATGGAAAACTTTGTCCATGCATTGCATTGCTTCAATAGGAATTTTAATGTGCATTTCTCTAGCAGATATATCATGTCAGATGCTTAAAATAGTTAGGTTAAAAAATTACCATCATGATTATGTCAACATCTAGTAATAGTAGTATTTTTTATGTGATATGAAAACACATAAGAATTGTGTGGTATGTATGGAATTGCCCCATTTTCAAAATGTGTATACAAATTCTATGTTAAAAGGTCACAGAAAAGCTATAAAGTACTTAAATATAGTGATCATTGGTATGACAGGTTGGAGGCTGACTATTATAAATATCAAGCTAAGTTAGATAAAGTGTTGAGACTGCTTATCAGAGTTACAAGGATTGAAAGGGATCAAGGACGAGGAAGTAGATCTTTTTGTTTCATTAGAAAAAATAAATGGTGCAATTTTTCATGATAAATGTGCAATAAAGTTATCAATTTTGTGTGGGAACTTCTTCACCGCTGCCCTATTTGATTATATAATGTGTTCAAATATCATTGCTGCATATCCTTTAAGCTACATGTTCTCAGTTGTTTTACCTAGAGTTTTGGATTTAATTTTGTTAACATTTAGCTGAAAAACTCCTTTGAGTTTTAGATGTAACCAACGTGGTCTCTGTCTCCTTTCATTTGCAAAATTTAAAAAATTTTAAGGGCTCCGAGTTGTTCTAATTTTGCTGTAGTGTTCAGAAAAACTTGCAGCACGTTTTATTGCACCACTGATAGGTAACAGCCTGCAGAAAAAAACTGCAAATAACCTAAATATAAAAGAATCAAATATTATCTACAAATTTTGGCTTCTCTCGACAGGAATGACAATAAAAATAATAATAATAAAAGAAGAAGAAAACCAGCCATTTCGATTCTCCATGATGGATAAAACTGTAGCCTATGGTCTGGGGCTAATCTATTTATGTTTCAAGTAATCAGAAAACTTGACAAATATCATTTCAACAAACTATGCTTCTGTGATGAGTTAAGATAAAACACATATAGTGGTGTCAGTAAATTTATGATGAAGTGTCAAAATAGTCCACCGACTGTTTACATGGGGTCGTTTTAATCTCAGGGTTTATAAAAGTGTCAAATTAGTCTCCAAACTCTTTAAATTGGGACTTAAATTGTCATTCGTGGAGACTATTTCAACCCATATTAAAAAAATATGGGTACTACATTGACACTTTATAATCTCTGGGACTAAATAACCTCTATCAAATAGTCAAGAGAATATTTTCACCCATTTCTCATTTATACTGTATATATTATCCAAATACTGCTTGCAAAAAATACTCTACTTGTAATTTAAAATGAAATAGAAGCAGTAATGTGAGAGAAGCTGAGGCATACTGTCAAAGAACCACTCCTCACAATCCTTGTTGTTACCAGATCCTAACATGTACTGGGGCCGGAATATTGCCCAGCTACTAAAAGATAAATCTGCAATATATCTCTCCACTGCGGCATGACCTGCATCATCTTTAACAGGATCCTGCAGCAGTAGCATTCTTCAGTTTTAGTAAGGAGAGGTTGGCCAACAAAATGCCAGTTCTTTATGAACACGCTGAAGCCTAAGAATAGTCATTAGGATTCAGGCTTATAAATCTACCTTGATTACAAAAATTTTTGTAATTTTTCCCAAGGTTTCTATCTCCTCCGATCAAAGAGCACATCATCAAAAGCTGAAGTTAAGGCCCCGTTTGGGGTCACTATTATTTTTTATTTTTAGTTTGTTTTTTTATTGTTTTGATATGAATTAAAATGTATTTGGTTATAATATTAGTTTTTAAAAACACTTGAAACATCTTTTAAACATGTTTTAAGGATTAAAACCAATAAATCCTATAGATCTCAACATTTCACCACAGTATGCATATTATAATTCTGAGCAACATTAGTGCAACACCTGCATGATTTAAATGATGAAGTTAAAAAACAAATTAACTTACATGATAGTGAATATTTTAACACCATGAATGTCAAATGAAGTTCTCGGGGGGTCTAATGCAAGTGACCTTTATGTTTTATAAGTATCCTGAACTAATTGTGTGAACCAAAAACAAAAAATCGCAATGTAAGGTCTAAAACTTTTCAAATAAGTAGGAAGATTAATTCTAATACTTATATTTTATATTTGCTACTTAGGTTTATAAATCCAATTTTCAACTCAGAAAATTTAAAGATTACTTTTAACTCTCAAAGTTTGATTGACTCTTCTATTGGAGGAAATTCTATTACAACACTGCTTCTACTGAGCAGATGAACCCTACTACACCTACTTACTTTGACGCTAAGAATATTTTTAGTAAAAATAATATTTGGCAAAATTAATGAGTACCAACTCTTTATGAAATGACAAGACAGACCAATATCAGAAGATATATGGATAACAAAATAACAATATCAAAAGCTTGCACTTAATCTCTTGAAAAATTACATCATATATAACTTTCCAATGGAGAGTTCTTCGCACCCTGAGGACATTGTTCAAATTTCACAATATTAGTTGATTTCAACAAAATTAATCACAAGGAATTAAAAATATACTACGAATAAGTTGAATAATTGGATCATTTTTCAATTCTTTATAGACTCCTCATCAATTTAAACATATTTTTTATTGTTTATTTAACCTTTTTGATGAGATTAAATGTAATAAGATGAGATCATAACTTAAGTCTAGAATTTGTTTATAAATATGACTGATTTTGCAATTTTTTTTTAATTATTGATGAATGAATGATTTATTTGATGAGCTCATTTATAGTTGATTGCTCTCCATCGAACTATGGTATATGCGGATTCCTTCAGGAGCGTACATGAAGTTATTACACCTTTCCTCTTCAAGTTATATATGCCAAGTTCTTTTTAACCTCAAGAGGCCTTCCTTGTAGACCAATTAAACAAAGAAAAAGAGAAATTTATTAGCCCTTCTATTAGCTGGTGCTTAGTGATGCCTCTATAATTCTCAAAAGCAAATAAATCTCTTAGCCCTTCTATTAGCTGGTGCTTAGTGATGCCTCAGAGCTATAATTCTCAAAAGCAAATAAATCTTTATTGAAAAAAAGGAAATTTATGATAGTCAAAAAGCATATAGTATAACTATCATGTGGATGCCATTAGACAAATGATGCATATTAGCTGTGAGAAAATGAGAATAAATAGAAAGCACATCTCAAGAATATAATGACTTCAACTACATTTATTTTATGTAAAAAAATCAATGCATAACTTACTGCTGAGAAAATACGGTCAAAAGCTATATAAACGATACAATCCACTTTATTTCAGGGGATTTGTCTTGCTCTATTCATTGACTAAAAAGTTTCTCAAGCCAAGTGACAAAAATAATGTGTAGAATGCAGCGGTGATTTTACTGAATTCTACACACTATTATGTCATTGTGCTAGAGATATTCTTTTCTATGATGGCACTACCACGAAGTGAAACATGAATTAGTATAAAACAAACATACCTATTGCCACGATTTTACAAAATTAAAATAAAATAAAAAAGTAGGAATACAAAATAAAAGTACTTTAGAAATCAACAATCCTATTGATGAAATATGATAATCATTAAGAGCAAATAATAATCAAGCCTACAAATATTTTTATTAACTTCAGAAATAAAAATGTTTGGCATAGACTTCCAGATAACCACAATAGTTCAGATAGTATCTAAAAACCAAATTAAAAATAGTCAAAAAAAAAAAAAGAAGAAAAAACAGGATAATGAAAACAAGCATTTCTCAAAATTAAATAGCTTGGAACGATAAATAACCAAAGCAAAGAGCATGAGTCTCCAATAGAATTGCATGCAAAGTTTTTGAATAATTTGACTAATCTGCGCCACTATACATCAACATAAATTTTAGACAACTAGTTGCACAGACATACAGAGCATAAACGTAAATGTCAAATCAAAGGATTGGCAGGTCGAGTATATACCCCTTCAACATGTGGGATCTCATCACTTGCCTTATAGATGCCAGCACTGCTGATGAAGAGAAATTGTTTGACTCCTGAAGATTTAGCCCAATCAGCTACAGGCCTGCAAATGAAGAAATGTGTAAATACATCTAGAATTAGGAGTGTAAACAAATCGGATCAAGTTTGAGCCACCCTCATCTTGAGCTTGAGCTTAATTTTAGGAGTGTAAACAAATCGGATCCTATACCTTTGAATCGGTTTGTTTGTTGTGAATGAAAGAAAACAATATTAATTTAAGATAATTTTATAATAAATAATAAATAAAATGAACACTTAGAAAATAATAAAAAATCACTTGATATAAAATATAAAATATCATTTTTAAAATATTTTTAATAACTTAAAGATAAGTTCTCCAATTTTAAATATTTTGAGTATGTTTTATATTAATTATTTTTTAAACAACTGGTTCAAGAGCCAAGAAGTCAAGTCGAGGCTAACTTGAGATTGGTTTGTTAGCTCATCAAGCTCAACTTACGAGCTTCCTATTGAGCCAAGTTCAAGCCAGCTCATGAGTCAGTATCGCTCAATTACACCCCAATTTGGAATCTCATTTCTCGAATAGCATGAATACTTTTAAATTCATTGTTTTATATAAAACAAAATAGTTTAAAGCTTAAAATAATTCTCTCAAATGTACAAATCCTTTCAAATATATAGATCTGCAAGAGGTCCTCATTTGTGTCAAAATGAATAGGCATCTCCAAATATCGCAATGTCTAAGATTACTAACGCTTAATCCGCACGCTCAACCTCAATAGAATTGGCCTGAATTTCTCCTCAAGTGAGACTACTGCAATTAATGGAATGGGACAATGCATGGAGAAAGAGAAAGAGTTAGCGTAACAATCAAGGGAGTTAGAGAGCAGCAGTGCTAAAAGCATTTCACTACTTTGAGGTTTTAAAAAATAACAAAATAAAGCCAATCATTGTTATCTAAATGCAGTGCTAATAGAGATAAACACAATGAAAAAATAAAATTACACAAGGAAAAGAGATAGGAGAAAGGTAAGGATTGCCGTCATCAATTAGGAGTGGGAGAGGAGGCTCTTGGCACCAACTGAAAGAAAGACAATGGCAAAGCCATCAGATGGGAAGGGAGGATTAGCCAAACACACAACAAGGAAGAAGATAAACATTAATTTATTTCAAGAGCCAAACACACAACAAGGAAGAAGATAAACATTAAATTTATTTCAAGATTCACCGAATACACCGGCGCCCGGGTAAGTGCAAGCATTTTGAATTGATAGCAACTTCTAAAGAAAAAAAAAATTGTACACCCAAAAGCAGATAAGGTGGACCAATGGGAGCAAAAATCTACCTACATGAGTCACTTTTCAAGATCCAGACCTACTAAGGGATCCAGCCCAAAGTAAGTGCGATAGAAATGGCACAGCCTTGCCAGCTCAGACACATATAGACTGAACGCAAATACCAAGAACGAGTTGCAGAGTATGAGCATATAAAGAGCGAATGTCGTAAGCAGAGATCTTCAATCATCCGCCAAACAACTGGTTGCCATTGGAGAGGAAATCTTAGAGAAGATCTTGATTTAATGACGATGTGATCAAATAGACAGTTAGATGTCTCTAATGATCCAGGCAAAACAATTATCTGTCTATTTTATATAGAGAGATTACTACTATAAAAGGGAAAATATCGAATGTAAACGGATTCCAATCCCCATCCAGTGGAACCCCGCTCATTCTCTCATTAACTGAGCTCTCCTAGCCCTTTCTGTCCCCTTACCTATCTCTTCCTCCTTCCTCACCCTCTATTCCTTGGGTAAGATCCAAAAACAAACTGGGATTCAACATCCCGATAAACAAATGAAATACACAAACATCTAACAAGTTCACCACATGAAATAAACATGACGAGCGCTAAAGATTAAGGAAAATTTCTTCCGATAACAAAGCGACAACTTACTTCACAGAGTCCAAATCCTTGCCATTATTATCCAACACCACATCGAAAGCGGCCGAGCCCACAACCTTACCCACATCGGCGGGATCACCCCAAACCGTCCGAGCGCCAGCACTGACCAACTCCTGTAAAGCCAACCAAAAGAACAAGTAAAACCGGTAAAACAACAAAACAGAAATCTCTTCTAACACAGCAGAAATCACAGAATGGGAATCAACTGAGAATCTCGTGAAGGGCGGCTTCTTCATTTTTTCGGAACTCTCATCTCCGACGGTAAGTATGTTGACCTCATGGCCGGCGCCGAGAAGTTCGCGAGCGAAGTAGAAGCCGATCACTGCGTGGCCACCGCTATTGGGGTTAAT